TCAAATTGTTCTCAATCATGTCTTCTAACGCACGCACGCACACCCCCCCCCACTCCCACAGTCCTGTGTCTCGGTAAGGAGACATTTTCTTGGCACAGAGAACATATTTGTATATATAATCCTTCATGGATGGCTCGCGCTGAAGAGAATTAATCCCTCTTTTCTTTTAAAATGTGATATTTTTCTGTCAAATCAGGATCAAATGAATGTCTTATGCAGGGCTCACTTTATATGTTAAAGTAGCACTTCTTTTTAAAGATTAAAAAACTCTTGTATTATGATTAAAAGTTTTATTATTTTTTGTTTCATATTGTTTCATTAACTTTTTATGGGTGCAATATTTGATTCATCATTTAGGACAGTACTAGGCTGTTTTCAGCCTTAAGGCTCAGACTGGAGCACTGCAGGCTGCCGAAATGTTTCATCACAGCGTCTGTCTGAGCAACTAGCTCGTATTGGATCTCCCTGTCATGCTGCTTGTAGCTGAGATAATACATCTTTCCTCTGTACCCATTTATAAAATCTGACAGAGATCAAACACTAACAATGCTTCTTTCAGTTTGTCATATATTTAAAACAGACATTTGGCTTTTTGAGATCCAAACCAAGAAAACAAAAATGTGTTTAACTCGATCTATTATGCTACACTAGACCAAGCTTGCCTAATGATTCATCTCTGTTTTTCATAGGGTTCCCTTTCAAATGAGCGTGACTATGAGACGATAGTGATGATGAGGATGAGGCAGGCCGCCGAGCGTCAGAAGCTCATAGAGCAGATGCAGAGAGAGGACGACGATGAGGCTGCAAAGTCGTAGCCGGAAGATCAAGACTGGCTTCAGTTTCATAAAACTTTTTGTGTTTTTATTATTGTTTTGCTGTAGGATATGATGTGAAAAAGAAACTCTTTTAATAAAAATGACAAACCTGTGCTATAATTTGTTTTCTCCTCTCTTCGTTGATGACATATGATGACCAAGTGCAATGCAAAAAGGTAGACCTGCTACATTTATTGATAATCTTCATATCAATTTGAACTGTGTCGCACAGGCCTGTAATATTTGACCTTAGATTTGACAACTTTGATGCAGCTTTTTTTGTTTTTTGTGATTACACTATCACAAGTAAAGAGCAATTAAATGAACTCTGCATTCAATGCATCACCTTGGGGAGCAGTGGGCTGCCATTGTTTGGTGCCTAGGGAGCATTGTGGGGTTAAGGGTCTTGCTCAGGGACCCAGAGTGGCAGTCGGGCTTGAAGTCAGAACCTCTGGATTCCAAGCGTAATGCCCTAACCAATAGGCCCTGACTCCCCTTTAAACTGCCTATTCTATTATTTTCAATATGTTGTATTCCTACTTTTTTGACTAATCTTTGACTTCAGAATTTTCCAAATTCATTCAAAAGTACTTTATTAATTACAAAGGGCAATTCAATATTTTAGTAACTAACTTTTTTCTTTCTTTCACCAAGATGTTGTAGGTGTTGATAGCTGTAGACAGGAAGGATCTTCTGTAGCGCTCTCTCTCGCATCGGATCTTGAGAAGCCTCATTCTGCAGACTCTGGTCCAGCTGCAGACTGTCTAACAATGCTCACTGTCTTCCATAATAATTTAATTATTTTGGGGGGGGGGCAGTTTTTCCAAGTCTGATGACCATGTACCGGTAATATGATTCATATTTTTTCCCAACTTATTTGTTTAAAGCACTATAGGATATGTATACATAAAGTGCACTATATGTAATATTCATTATTATGATAATAATTACTGTAAATATTACTTCCATGCCTTAAAGCTTTATTTTTACTCGCAAACTCTGTGAAGAATCAGAGCGGAGATGGAGACCCAGGCCTTCTGTTTTAGTCTATGACCTCCAAAATTCTCATATGTTCTTAAACCTTGTAGACAGACTTTTCCAGAAGAGCCAAAGCTGTTGTAGCTTTAAAGGGTTTACCAACATCATATCAAAGCTGAAAGGGGGTGTCCCTTAAGTTCATATATATTTTTGCATTCACCAAACTGTTTGCCAGTAAGATAATATACTCTTTGCATAGAACTGTTGTTTCAGGATTATTTTAGTCATTTTTGTTATGAGACTTTCCTTCATGTTCACCTTTTGCTCGCTGCTCTGTCCAATAAACTCCTTGTTTTTCATGTGATCGCAGGACATAAAGCCAACATTTTGCATTCGCATTTAGGTAATGCACTTCTGGGTTTGTGCGAATTCACTGCAGCTCTTCTTTTGCTGGGTCAAGACGCGCCACAGAGTGCTAAATTGAAGCACACACCTTGTTTCACCACATCATATTGACCCTGACAAATTTTGAGTCATTCTTAGAAATGTCACAAGAATCAGATGAAACGTTTGAGATCCTGTAGAGTTCTTGCTTATTTATGCTCTACAAAGTTGCACGCTATCGGGCCTTGTTGTGGTCAGTATGAGTTTTGTAATAGAATCCTCTTGCTTGGGAACATACATCTCTTCTGAACAGTCTGTTTTCCCCGTCTCTCTGGCATAATAGTGTGTCTACTGTGCTTTTCCCCTGTCATTGTGTTAGTTAGAAGCCACATGGAAGATTTGCAACAACCAATCCAGTCGTGCATCCCCCTGCCACTCCTGCACTGCCTCTCCACAGCTCTGTTACACAACGTCCAGCTGTGAGTGGTCTGGTAGGAGACATCTGCTGCTCTCCTCCCGCAAAATCCCCTCATAACATGGTTTTGTTTATGTGTATCCTTCTCCCATACCCCAGCAATGTGATAGAAAAAAAACACAATCAGAAACACACAACCTCTGTCTGAATGACAACAGAGGAAATAGAGTCACAGGAAACAAGATTCACCGCTTAAACTGCCCAAAGCCTGCAGCGGTTTGTGCTTCTGCATGCGAACCAGCAGGGAAGGATGACCTTGTTGCAGCATCATTCTGAGGAAAGATTTATTGTCTTTTATAGCATCATAGTGGTCATGTCTGTGGATGCCAGAGTGCTGTTTCATCTACAGCCTAGAGGTGGAAGCTATGTCATGCATTAGACAGCAGGTCTGGATAGAGTTTGGCTGGCAGCATATGCAGGCTGCGGGTTAGCGATCAGGGCGGGCCTCAGACACATGCTGACCTACCTGGGGCTCAAATGTAACCACCCAGTGTTATTTGGCAAACAGAAGACCACCCCCCACCCCTTAATGCCCATGCAAGTTTATCATCCTAAATTGTAGAGCTACTTTCAGCATGCCGTGCCATGCATGTTTATCAAGTTCTGTATTTGATGGTTTGGTTAACCCGTCACCTCCCTGCAAAAGAACTAAAATCCTCTGAAATGTGATAATTTAAACACATTCGCGCATAACCGGCATAAAAAAGCAAATTACATTCATGGTTTTTAAATTATAATTAATAGATTACATGTAGACTTTCCATTAAGAGCAATTTTCGTAAATTGCCACAAGTGAATTTCTTGGAATTTCATTCTGCCATTCTTATGTATGCTTTAATCTGGATGTATGTTTATGGTTGTTGTCCTGCTAAAAGGTCAACCTCTGCCACCATCCCTATCCTGGCTGAAGAAAAGTTCCCCCACAGCATGATGCGGCCACCAGGTAATGGCTGATAGCAGTTATGTGCAGAGTTTGTTTTCTTCCACAAATAGCATTTTGCATGCAGAAATCTCAGTGCCTTCTCCTCAGAGCCATGTCCTCTACACAGCTTGTGCTGAAATGTTGATTTCTTCTTGCTTTCATTCAATAAAAGGTAGTTTTTTTTTACAGATGAAACCACCTGAGCTATGAAACTTCATAGTTCCTCCAAAGTTACCATGGGCCTATTGGCTGCTTCTTTCATTGATGCTATTCTTTGGTCGGTCTGTCAGTTTAGGAGAACGGCCATGTTTATAGGTTTGCAGGTGTGTTATACATTCTGTATTTTCAGGGGATGAACAGCACTACTGAACTGTGAGATAGATGCTTGGGTTATTATTTTTTAATAATGTAATTTGATTTCTCCGCTACTGTATCACTGACCATGCTGCTGTAATCTTTGGTTTTCATGATTTTCTGTTGACTAATATCCAATTAATTACCTCCGCTGAGGGGGTTATGTTTTCATCGGCGTTGGTTAGTTTTCAAAATAACTTAAAAAGCTATGGATGGATTTTTCTGAAATAACCCTAACCCACTAAAGTATAGTTTTGATTTTGTTTGGAAATCAGAGTCCTTTAGTCTGAAGGAGAAGTGGAGAGGCACATAAAGTAATGTGGATTAAGTCCAGGGTGAAGGATCCAGTCAGATTTGGGGGGCCATGTCATCTCCTGGTGTTTTCTGATGTCTACAGTCAATACAGCCTATTATAAGGAAATTATTAACCACCTGATGCGTCTTCCTCTGTCAAGCTGTATTGAAGTAATAATTTCATTTTAACAACAGGGCTTGATATCATGCTGCTTTGGTGACAACTGCCAGTACCCCATTGAAGTCTGTTAAATATTGTCGAGAAGAATATGAGAGACACCAGACCCAACCTCTCAGATGATCTGAAGGCTCCCATAAAGAAACCTGAGCTTCCATTACATCTCAGCAGAACCACAGGGTGACCACCTCCATGCTGCTTCCATGCAATCAGTTAAGCTAAGCAAGGCCCAACCAAGTATGGATTGCATGGGACATATTCTAATCTGCTCAGAAACTTCATTTGAGGTTTTCGTCATCTATAAGCCATAATTATCAAAACAGCAACTAATACAACCTGAAATGATTTGACTCTATGTATAATTATGAATGTACTACGAGCTTCACTTCTTAAATGTTTGACAAAAATACTAAAACATTTTTTAAGATATTGATTTGTTTTAAACGTTCCAGTAAACAGTCAGTCAGATTATCAGTGTAAAGGAAGGGTAATACAAAATGTGAAATGGTGATCTTGCAGGAATTTATATTTATAGTTAAATCTCTTTGTTAAAACAATCACAAAGTCAAAATTATGTTATTTACATTGTTTATTAATAAACACAATGCAAACTTAGTTCACAAAGACTTTGGCACTAATACAAGAAACTGTGGCTGTCTGAACATTCGCCCTAATCCCTATATAGGGCTCTACATAGTGGTTAAGCTCTTTTAAATGAGTGTCTGAATATCAAAAGGATGACAAAGTAGTGAAATTGAAATTTCCTACAATGCACCTTCAAAAGTAGTGATCATCCATTGACACTAAATGAGCAGATTTATCCCAGATTGCTTTGTGAAAGCTCTCCTTGCAAAGCATCATGGGATTTGTTGTAGTGGCAACCACTGATCTCTATTTATTCACTGGATTGCTGATGGGCCAACAAAACTGAAGTCACCTGCCACCATCTTGGTACTCCCTACTCTCACTGAGTCACGCCCTAAAAATGCCTGTAATATAATGTAATTACCAGAACAATGTAATTAATAAATGTATATTACATGTACAAAATCAATTTAGCACTTATGGCACATCATCAGATAGTGTGTAATTTGCTTAATATCTGACTACAGTACTACTATTCTCCATTAAACACTAAATTTCTTGTGAGGGGTTTGTATAATCCATTATAATAAATGATTTATAGACTTAATTAATTTCATACTGACTATACAATGTGATCTGCCTATTTTTTTTTTACCATAAGTTACAGTAATCTACTGCTGCTATGAAACAGCAAGTGTGTGTCAAAGTGATTAATTTACCTTTATTTTAAAAGTCTTAAGCCCCCCTGAAGACAAGAACACCATCATTGTTCGATGCTGTAGCGAACGTTCTGTTTACATTCCAACCAGCCTTACCTGGGAGTACCAATATGGCAGCTGGTGACTACACAGCACCATGTACTACCAACGGCCTATCAGCAATCCAGTTAATAAATAGAGATCAGTGGTGACAGCAAATAACAAAGAGAGCACTGGCATTGTGCAGGGAGGTGGAGTTACGTGACCAACGGGAAGTGAAAAGTAGTGATCATCTGTCTGAACGGTCAGTTAACTCAGTTCACTATAAAGTCCACTATATGCTCCCCATTCTATATAGTGATTGAAGGATTTATGTGTTAGGGTGGATGTTCAGACACAGCCTGTGTTTTTTCTCATTTACAAGAGAGGTCCTTTGACTTCCTATATACCAATAGCTTTCAACACACCTGCAGTAAATTACTACCAAATTAACTGAAATGTACTTCCATAATACATCAATATTTTAACCTGTTCAATCAGAAATATTGTGCAAAGGATAATCTCAGCTCTAAAGTTTTTTCTCTGCTCTCTGATTGTGAATTTATCAAAACTTCAAGAAGGTAAGCACACAAAAAAAATACATTTCTTTCCTGCAAATTCCATCAGGCATTTTAAGGCTACATTGTGATTAATCCATCTGTCTCCTTGTGAAGACACCACACCAGCGTTTGTCCCACTCCCGTCATCGACAGCATGCGGAAGCCGATCTTCTCCAGCTTGTCGAGCACCAGGCGGGGTGGGTCATCCACATGGTACTCAGAACTAAAATAAGCATAAACAAAGTAATTCTGCCTTGCACAGATGTAGGATTTCTCTCTTTTAGTAAACTCTGCTTGGTGCTCTGGTGCTTATTCACTTCCTTCCACACCTTGGTTCATTTCCCAGAAGGATTTAAATCAGATTGCCAATGACAACACTTCCCTGATCTGTATTCCATCACCTTGAATGGTTTACTTTAAATCTGTGAAGCAGAAGCTTTCCTCAACCACAACTTCTTTGTTCCAGCCAACTGATTTGATCTCAGCTCTGCTGTCAATATGTGGACTGTAACAGCCAAAAAGGAAAGAAAACCCACTTTTAACTGTCAGAATGAAGAAATATGGCATTCTGAGACCAGTTTTCACCAAACCAGCTTAGCTATGCACATCTGTTGAGGTCAATATTTTAACAGTGCCTTTAGAGATCACCCTTCTTGGTTTGCCAGATGATTGCAGGGATATATGTAGTTTCAGAGGGTAATTTTAACCTTGAATTGAATCTACAGCGTCTCACAAAGCACCATAAGTGTTCTCATTCGGAGCACTTACAAATTGTTTCCCAGCATGGTTGTTTTTCTTGCACCCAGGTAACTCATTACAGCTGGATCAGAGAACTCGTCCCCTACATTTGTTGGGCCAGACTCCTGAAAGACAATAATCAAAGACATCATATACTGTATCATCTAAAGAACTGGCTGTGGCTGTTATTTGTGCAGCCATATCTCCATATTCACACGCAACCCTGCAGGTACTGAATAATAATCCCTAATAATATCTGGGCAGGCTAAAAATAGATGATCCACTGCTTAGAGGCTATAGCATTAGTTTGCTGGAGATGAGCAGAACAGGACTTAAGATGTTACAGAAGATACTGATAATATATGTTGAAAATGTTAGAGGGTTCAAGTGTAACAAGTTATAAATGTTCAACAGAAAATAAAATAAATCATAGCTTTTACTGATGCTAGTAATAAAATTAGAACTAAATGTATATGAGTATGATATAAATATGAGTATGCTTATAAATGTTGAATTTTACAGCTATTAGAAGCGAAGTACGTTAATTGTCCATAACAGCTTATTTTAAATAGTGAATATCTTGACAGTTTGCCGACATATCGCACACTTAAAAAATAAATGATTTATGAAAATGTGAATATTATTTTAAAACATTTCTAACCCATAAATATTATGCCATGTCTACACAATCATTAGGACTAGTCCAAACTTGTCCAGCAGAGGGGCAAGGGTTGTATTTTTATTACAAATGTGTGCAAAATTATGAGGATATTTTGCTAATTTTCCATTTAATAAGAAAACAGTAAAAATTGCTTGAGAATATGTGTGTTCACATAAGATGGAAACACATGCAGTATAGATCATGTGACTCGTGTGATGAAAAAAAAAGTTTCCATTTCAGTTTTGCAAAATATGACCATTTCGATACGACTGAAAAACCATCCTGTCGTTAATTATAATTTGCTCAATTTGATAATTAATGGAAACGCACCTACTGACATCCTCTACAATGTGGGTTATGCTAAAGAAGCTGCCCGTTTACCAAACCCTTTATCAAAACAAGCTAATTAGAAAGAATTAAGTGTGGCAGAAAAAAGTCTCAAACATGATTATTGAATTCAATTTTGACAGAATGTTAAGGTGAAGCCAGCAGGTATTGAAAACAGCGGGAGTCGCCCCTTGAAGAGCCTTGGTACCTGCTCACACTGCCACAGGTGCCAAAAGGTACCAACACATGGTTGATACCTGTGATATTCTGCTATCAATGAGCTGAGTGGTCTAACCTACACCCCGTAGAGCAGGGCTGTCCTTCAGAGCTTCTTTCCTGCTTTTCTTTTACACACACATCTTTTCAAACAACATCTGCATCAAAAGATGCAAATGTTGTATGATTTAAGTGTGATGGCGATGGGATGTGTTCAGGACTTGCAGTATAGTTGTTTTCAAGTACTGGACTTGGATTCACATGATAGAAAAGCTCTGAAATAAAAGCCATCCAAGCTGAAGACCACAAATATTTTTTTATTATTGTTTTGATTTGTTTGTTTTTTGTGTTGTTATATTATGTTGCTCTTAAATATATTAAAGAAAGATTAGATTTCAGTTTATTAGCTGTACCGCTATACCAAAAAATATATCAGTGTGTATTCAATCAATGCATAAAATAAATTAACCTTTAAAGGTGAAGTAATAATTTATTCATTTGCACTTTTTATTTGAATGAGTTAGTAGTAAATCATATAGAATACACATTTCAGTGTGTTGGAGTGAATTTATGCCACAACTATAAAATTGTTAAATTATTTTGTAGTTTCTCTGCTGCTGTGTGATGTGGAAAAAAATTTAAATGTTTTCCTTACCTCAGAAAACAGACTCTTACATTTGATTGGTTTATCAACACAGTTTAACCAATTATAATAAAAGGAACACGGATTATTGCAGCAATAAACCAGTAATATATGTTTAAAAAATAAAATTAATATTCAGTAAGTTCAGTTTGAGATCTGTAACAATGGATGCTTGTCAATTTCCCTTTACATGTAGAAATAAAAGGTTTTCAGATAAGCATTATTATCTAAAATATTAAAGCTAAAGAAATCCTGCAATCTCCACTGCAAAAGCAATGCACGTATTGCTTATGGGGTATATATATATATGTATATATATAAATATATATACACACCAGTCGGATCTGCGTGCTGATGAGCATGTAAGGCATCCCTGCCTCTTGGATTGTCTCCTTTCCTCCCCTGGGAAAGAATCAAGGTGTCCTAAAAGAAGCGCGTCTCTCTGCAGCTCTGTGCGGAATGCGGAAACGCCCACCATGACGGACCAATCAGAGTCCAGCTTTGCAGTCACGCAGTGTTGCTCAACACCCACCGTGAGTTTATTGACATGGGAAGTGCTGGTCCATATTTACACACCCGATCAAATGTTTTCTTTAGACCAGTTTTCATCCAGTTTAATTAAAGTTGTGTATTTTTATTTTATTTTTTTTTTTACATTTTCTCTGCAAACGTTTTCTGTGCAAATATAGACTGAGAAGATTTATTTTTCACAAAGCACACGATTTATGTAATATTATGCCTTTTTTTTTTTTTGAACACTTCATATTGAAGGTACAATGTATTTTCCCTTGGTTTGTTTGCATCACTTGACCCCCAAAGATGAATGATGCATACCATAACTCAGAGGAAAATGTGTCTGAAAGTACAATCTTCTTCTATGTAAGAAATGTCTGAGTGCTAAAAGAGTCTGATTGATTTTTAACTATGCCTTGTAGTGCTCTGAGGGAAATAATCATTTAGAGCTACTATTCTGACCTCTCTTGTTAAAATCTATACAACTAGATTTCCTCTAATTATTAGCAGATGCATGATGGACTAATATTTTGATCATAATTTGGTCGTGTTGATTTTTAGTCCAACAGATAATTTTTTTGTCTCTGCTACCATGCACAGGCATCACCGATGCAAAAGTTTGAACTGGCAGCAGATTCCTGTAGAGACCGTGAGACCCTTGGTGTGGGGAAACAAATGCTGGTGCCCCCCTTGTGGCTCCTTGGAGCTTTTTACAAAAATTTATGAAAATCGATTTTTTGTTTTGTTTGTTTTAATATGGTGTGCATGAGGTCAAACAATAATCAATTATGTTTTCAAATGCTGTAAACATTTGTATAATAAATAAATTGAATCAATAATTTGTGTCATAGCCATAGAGATCAGTGGTCATAACTTGCAACAGCGCGGCGCGATGCCAGGCAAACAAAGTTGTGGGTGTGTGTCGGACCATGGATCCCAAAGTGAACAAAAGGAAGATAGCTAATGAGAAAAGAGGATTCAAAGAATGGAGCGAATCATTTGATTTCATTATCAATGCGGAAGGATTGCCTGCATTTTTGCTTTGTAATGAGAGGTTGTCAAAAAATAAAAATAAAAATTTGGAAAGGCATTTCCAGGGAAGGTTGAATATGCAACACACCACCAAGCTGGGAGTGAGAGAAAAAGTGTGATTAAAGAACTTCTGGATAAATTAGAGGAATGCAAAGATAGATTTAAGGAGTGGATTGCATCTCCAAACTCCACTACTGCTGCTAGTTTTGTTGCAAGGATGGAAAACCATCCACAGATCAAACAGTCAGCTTATGGCTTAAAATTTTACCTTCCCCAGAGATTGTTTCACTACTCTGCTTCTTATCCATCTCTGATGCACCACATAACAACAGGACTCTCTTACTGGAAGTCAGAGGTGAATAGAGTAAAAAGTAATAGTGAGAGTACCATCCATGGGTCTTTTGATGCGTCCTATGGGAGCTGCTCCATCTTTTATCAGTCTCTGTTAAACAGAGCCTCGCCTCCTCAAAGAAAAACAGAGCAACATAAATTATCCCTCCAAAATACAAATCAGAGACCCACACCCCCTATTGAAAATACTCTCAGTATGAAGTGTCTGTCTGCTTCCCGTACTCCTGCAGCGGCTTCCTGCACTTGTTCATCTGCAGCTGATGAATAAAGTCAGAGGTCAACTTCTCTGTGACTTGTGGGGAAACGTCCCTAGTTGGTTCACACGAAACACCTGACCTTTTCACATTTTTGCACTCGACCTCTCAGCTGGTGTGTGGTTCTAGAAGCACTTTCATAAAGTCTGAAGAGTTCAGAAGAAGAAACACAAAAATAAGATTCCAGACTTGGACTTTCAAGTTTAACGCAATCTCTTTTCTTTTTCTTGTCGATTTGCATCAGCTGTGGAACAGATTGTTGCATGTTTAATAGCCATTTAGATGTGCAAGATCTTTATTTTGTATGACAAACAATGACTTTAATGAGCCATGGGCTTGTATCTGCAAAGCAAGTCCAGATCGTCAGCCATTGCACCCAGCTGTTTTATTGGGTTGGTTGATATGTCATCTTATTTTACTGTGGTCACATGTTTTAATCTTGTAAATCAGCTGCATTTAATGATCATTCAACTGAGGCTACTTAACCTCTTAGTTCCTAGGGAAACAACAGTGGTTAATCATGAATTTGTGGTGTGGAGATTTTTTTTCTGCTGTCACTACATTCATACTTAGTATGAGGGGTTGCTGCAAAACCAACAACAGCATGCTAGTGACTTTCGCTTTCACTATAAGTACATCTGAGAGAAATAAATCCTTTGGTAGAAAATCTTTAAACGTGACTTCAATGTTTGCTAACTAGAATGAATTTGAAATCCATGTAGCTAACTTGGATGATATTAATCTGGATTTAAAATATTGATTAAAAGACTATCATTTAATTATTTGGGTTCAATTTGCATGTTTTGTAAGCCAAAACAAGGCTTTGTTTTTGGTCCACTCTATAAAACCTCAAACTCAATGCTATTTCTGACATTTTGAAAAAAGCTTCCTGAATGGGAAGCGAAATCTCTGTAAACTGGGAACAGAGTCTAAGTGGATTATTATATTTTTTTTTAACTTTTTTGGAATGACTATGACCTGGATGACTGGGAATCTTCACCAGCATCATTTAATTATCTAAGCTAAGGTTTAAAAGATGACATGTTTCTTGAACTGTAAAGCAAAAGGAAAATCTTACATGGTCTACAATTTTCATTTTAATAAAAAATATGATAAGTCTGGAACAAATTCAGCTCTCTACTGTGATCACAGCAAAGTGGGATTAAGGCATATTCAGTTAATAACTGTATCAGTCAGAATCCATACCTGAATTCAACTCGGAAGCCGCAATCAGGCAAGAAGAAAAAATATGATCAAAAGAGGGATGAGTGTTGATTTTATCTTTAAATATGCAAAGTTGGTAGAGACAGATTTGCAGGTTTAGTTGCAGCAGAAGGTGTTTGTAGAACATATTGATTTGTTGGGTCTAAAAAAAAAAGAAAAGAAAACAGCAAACATCTCAGTTTGTTATTTCATATTTCAATTCTAAAGGGAAAGGAATCCTTTTCCAATTCCCTATATCAAAATAAGACAAAACAATCCAACTCCAGGTTATCCAAGCTATTTAAACAAACAAGATCCATACATTTCTTTTGTACTGAAACTGCACCAACGAAACTGATTTGATTTGAAAAGTTTTACAAGTGAAAGGTAAAAAAAACTGCATGCAGAGCTACCCAAAGTGCCTTTTGAAGTAGAAAAAGGATAAATGTTCTGTCTTCTTAATACTTATTCCCTGTGTGTCAGAGTTCCCAAACACAACATCACGCTACCTCTCATCGGTGTGTATGGGACAGATTTACATGCTGCGAATATGCGTGGGAGAAGAGCTGCACCTGGAGGCTGCTCTGCTGAAGCAATCGCTTTAAATCACAATGTCGGAGCCGAATGGGTATAAATTATACAGCTGGGCAGTTTGTATATTTAGTGATTTACTGTAGGTGTTTGTTGGAAAGGTTTTCAAATATTCAGCTGAGGGATTTAAAGCTGTGGGAGAACGAAAACTAGCAAGAAGCTCTTTGACTGATTTTGTGTTAAGGTTACACAGCATATAGGTTTACATGGGTTCAATGTTGATGAATCACCGTTACACAGTTCGTCTGCTGACTTTTATCCATTTATAATTATGTCTGGCGCTACTCCAAAGAGTTTTGCTTTCCATCTTCTGAAAGTACATGGAACCATGACCTCCTTTTCTGTTGTCCAGATTACATAAAGTCTCTCAGAGATGCCCCCCTCCCTCTGTCCTTCTTTCTTGGTTACCTCGTCTCTCCTCCTGCACTCAATATTGCTGTGCTCACTGACAGACAGACTGGGTTTAGCAATTGCACAACATATCACAGCGGTATATAATGCCACGAAACATTTAAAGAGCTGTCACCAGGATTGCATTTTGTTGAAAAACAACAGGATGTGGTTTCAGTGGCTCTGTGAGTTGGAAAGGAGATTTGTTTGGGGAGACAGTGATTAAGAATAATGTCATCACATATTTGGAATGACATTCACTTACCCACTGCGTCTTTTCTTTCATCACCTCAGCTGGGATCTTAAGTTTGTACACTAAGGACGTTCCCATGGATCATTACAGACCGGGTTGGTACAGCTATAAGTGACAGGAAAGCAACAGGATGCAAAATAAATGGAGAAACAGTGGAGAGTTTTGGTTAAAGCTTTCATGTCATGGCTTAAACTTGCCTCACTGTTCTGCATTTTCTGCTTGTGTTTTGCTGCATTCTGCAGATTTGACTCAGTTATCAGTAAATAATGAAACCATATTTTCAGGAACAGAATGAGGTTCTAAGTGGAGGATAATTGTTCTCTTTGTTCAATGTGAGTCACATCAACCTGGAAATAGATTTGTTCAGCCAGAAAATTCCTTAAACTGTAGTCAGAGATGAAAATCTTAAAGGATTTTTAACAGCTGGGTGGCTATGAACTGTATCATTTGAAAATCAGGTGCATTTATGGACCATTTACTTTTCTCCTGGAATGACTCATTGTGAACACTTTGTAAAATACAGCTCAAATTCCCAGAATGTTTAAACTTAGCCCTGCTTTAAACTTTTTTTTTTAAATCTTTTTTTGCAACCCATTCTGTAGTTAGATTAGTTATGATTTGACTTGTATGAAATACATTTAAGCATTTCTACTGTTGAATCCATTGAGATGACAGGAATTTGAAATAAAAAAAAACTCTCCAATTATACAAACCCAGAATATTTTTTACAATGGTAATGATTTTTTTCTTCTATTTAATTTGAACTTGTAGCTTTACATTCATCATCAGAGGAATATTCTGTGCTTGAACATTTCCTTTACATGAACGTAAAGAATTATGAACCTCAGTGAGAATCAGATTCTAAGGAGTAGTTTAAAAACCTTT